ATTCAAAAATTCTTTTGAATGTTTTGAACAGATCCCAAACACAACAGCGAAAATAAAGTATGATGGAAAACAGCTCAATCAAGCATGATGTTGGGGAGCATATCTATCAACGTAGGAAGCAACTATGGTACAGGCTTGCAGTAACACATGTTTAATCACAATGATAGTAATGCTATAGGCAATCACATGAAGTAACATGAGATAAAAAATGAAGTGAGCATCGAAAGGAAACTGCAATAAGTTAACACAGATGAACCGTAAAATATGACAGAGATGATGAAGACAGCGATGAGAATACAACAGGATGAACACAAAGATATCTGAAGTGAGCAAATGAGATATACGGAAAGAACACAAACACAACAAAAAGCAAAGAAAACGAATGAAAAACACAAGGAACTAGCACCAATAATATAGATCTCAGGATAAAGAATAAACGAATGGAATTCCTGAGATAATATCTCCAAGAGAGGATTAGTTCTTTTTCGCAACCCACACTTGCGTGGGCAACGAGGATCTCATTTTGCTTTGTCTGAGAAGGAGTATTCTTTTGGCGAGATCTGCAAGACATCTGTGCACTTTGAGAGTAATTATATGAATATGCATTGAAGTTATTTCCAGATACATGAGCATAATGATTTGAGGAGGTACGCATATACTCCTTATGTTGAAGGTTTGATCGATACCCATTTGAGAAACTCCCTAAGCCATCCCGTGAATGATAATCATTATCTCGAAGAGAATTACTCTGCATGTTCAAGTTAGAAGTGATAGATAGATTTTCAGTAATGCACTTCTTCACCCAGATTTGCTTCTTGGGTGAACCAGACCTGCAGTTAGTCCCAGTATATCGAACGAAAACCTTACCATTTTGTTGTTTGAAGAATTTGTAGTTCGAGTCATCAGACTCATCAGGAACAACAGTAATGGAAGTATCATATCCTAACAGAATAGCAGGTTCGAGCATTTTTCTTTTAGCAAGAACCCAACTCGTTCGAGGATACTGTTCGGGAGTCCAGTATAGGTTCCATCAACGTTGAGTTTTCTTTTGAAACCCAATCCTTCCTTTCGAGGATTTTTTTGTAGTATTGACTTCTTGAGACATCACATAGAGTTTGATGCCCTTTTAGGATCCTTAGCAATGCTGTCTCAAGCAAGTCCTTTAGCCTACAATTTTCCTCAGTAACAACATCAAATTCCTTGGAAGAGGGGTTAGTGATATCATTCGTAGTAGTTGCAATATTCTCGATGAAAACATTAGAAGTTTCAGCATGATAATCAACATTACTACGTTCTAGGCATTTTAAGCAAGGAGGCATAAAATCATCAGGAAGCCGAACAGATTGCTCGGCGAAGAGAAAAGCTTTCTCTTTCGCAAGCGTGTTATGAGATTCTTTCAGAGACTCAAGTTATTGATACCTGTTAAGGAGTTCATTAGATAAACTCTCGAAGACAACTGAAAGAGAATCATATTTGTTAGAAAGATCATCAATAGTTGAAGAGAAAGCGTCATGCTCTTCCATCAAACTTTTGATTCTTCTCCATCTCTTCGATTAGTAATCCTTCGGCTTTCCTAAGATTCCTCTCAAGCATTTCAAGTTCATCATGTTGAGATTTTGCAATATTGACCAGTTTAGCATAGGCAATGTATTCAGGAGAATATCCATTCATGGATTTTTGGTGTTTTGCTGATACCTGATCCTTAGATGATTTTTCCATGAGACAGAATGCGATTGGTTCATCATCACTTGAGGCATCATCATCGGAGTCTGATTCGAGTGAATTTTCTGATGATTCATAGGCAATGAAGGCGTTGCTCCTTCCAATACTTCTATGAAATTCTTCATCATCTGATTCAGAGTCTTTCGCCTCCTCTTCAGAATCCAGGGTCATATCAGCACATGCTCTATTCAACTGTGATATTCTCTTAATATTTGGCTTGATGGTTGCTCTGGCTTTCACGTCAGTGACTAGTCTCGTCGAATAAGATGAGGAATATTCATTTTTTTCGAGAGCTTAGTATGATGATCCATTCGTGTGAATCCAATGCAGTGAAGATATTTCCATCTGTTGCTAGGTTTTCCTTCCCAGCAGGGACAGTCTGCTATGAGATGACTGGATTGTTTGCACTTGAAGCACTTCATTTCTTTCAGAGGTAACCTTCTTGATGATTGAGGCAAGTCAAACTTGTCATCATTCATGAGGCATAAATTTTGTCTTCCGAGATCACTTAGCCTTTCTGTTAGTATCTCTAGTTCTCTGGTGATGGTGTGTTGATTCTTAATATCTTCTTCTTTGTGTGAACTGCCATAGTTTGAGACAATTTCTCCTTCACCTTCCAAAGAAGATTATTGATCTGCATTTTCCAGTTCCATCTTTTCTTCGTGAAGTGATAACAGCGTCATGACCTCTAGATAGTGAAGTTCTTCATAATCTGGTCTTTGCTTGATTTCTGCTATGATGGGATTGAAGGTAGCGTCAAGAGCACTGAGCAGCCTGTTGACCACATCTTTATCGGTGATATCAGTTACTCCTCGTTGATGAAGTATTTCAACAATATTTGTAAACCGACCAGTGAGTTCCATAGCACTTTCTTTTCGAAGGCTTCTAAAGCCAGCAAACATGGCATGAAGCATTTGAGTGTGAGTCTGTGTTCTGGCAATGAATTCTTCATGAGCATTTTTTATAGCATCCCAAAGTTGCTTTGAAGTGTCGAGCATTTGGAACCGAAAGAAAATGTCTTTCGAGAGACTACTACAGATGATATCTTTTGCTTGAGCATCCGACGACAGATTGACTTTGTCATCGAAATTGGGATCATCCGGTTGCTGAATGGTGTATCCATTTTGCTCAATCTGCCATGGATCAAAGTTGATAGCTTGAATTCTGATCCTCATTCTTTCCTTCCAGTAGATATAGTCATTTCCATCAAAGATAGGAAATCTTTCAGAGCGCGAGGATTTACCTGCATATGACATACTCAAAACTCCAAGGACTTTAGGCCTTTAATAAGCAGAGACAACGAGTACTCGCTTTGTTACCAATTGTTAGGACCGAGAGTATATCGACCAAAGGGGAGCAACAAAGATGATCGAAGCAAATGAATGATACAACAGGTGATAAAGATCGGATAAACTATCAACACAGAGCACGAAGGTAAACTGCTGAATGAAATGCAGTAAAGTAGAATAAACTAGTGGTGCTTGATGGCAAGAGATGAATTTGGTAGACCAGTTCACCCTTCTGCCAAAGGGCTATGTCTGGTTGGAGGGGATGTGATTTAACACGGAAGATAAACTCTCTTCACCCTATTCTTCTTCAACTCGGAGCTGATCAGACTCTAGTTGATTTCACTCATGGTACATACATGTCGGCAATCTCCAAACCTTCGGTCGACCTTCGCAAACCACAGTCACTCTTGCTTGCTGAAGATCTAGCTCAGTGAATACAACAACTCTTCAATCACTCGAGCCGAAACCTATCCGTCTAGAGAGTGCACAACTCTCAAGAGTAATAGGTACAAGAACTCTAACTCAGAACTACTGTGATGCTCAACCACTTTCTAAGTTTGGGCTCTTGATTTTTCTCTCGGTGGATCTTAAACTCAAATCACTCGGAGAGGG